TATCACTAATTCTAATTTCTAGTGCTAATTACTCAATCAGACTGATACACCAGCTGTGCCTCGGTTTGAAGTTCTTTTTTTCCCATTTAATGTGCTGCTTTCTCACTAATCCACCTCTCATTACCTCACAGTCGTCAAGAAATATATTTTGTCAGACTCAAATGGATAATAAAGTCGTGGCACAGTCAATAACTGGCCATAATTTACACATAAACTGGATAAGATTTCATCTTGGACTCTTCCTCTACCACTGAGATATAAACAGCTATATGAAAAAGAATTGTCAGTGTCACATTTTCGGCATATTCTGTTCCATTTAGGTTCAAATCCTAATTAAGATGCAAATGAGTATTGTTTATGTTGTTTCATTTATTTAAATTGAGTATGTTGCATGATTTGGTTGTATTTTAAATATACATTATACAATATACAATATACAAATAGACATAATACATTTCTTAAGTGTGTAGTGCTTTGGAATGTCACACAAAACATTTCCAGCTGCTTTATTTCTCAAGCTGTTTTTCCACACACTATGCGCGTTGTGCTCATAAGCAAAGGAAATGGCATTTCACGTGCTTTGTCTCAAGCCTGTATTGCATGCGCCCAGGTGTTGTAAGATTGTTTTGTCTGTCCTGTGGGAAATGGTGTACACTAGTCTCTGGCGATGAGAATGCTTCTGCTATCATCTTTCCACATTCAGCTGGAGCTGGAATGCATTTATTGCCAATCTGACTCCTGGAGGAGAAGGATAGCCTCACGCTTGAGTGGACTGCTGCATTTGGGTCGGGTTTTCATTCCATCTAGACTTTAATGACTTAAATTGAACTAATGGAGTAGATGAAGAAATGGAACCAGCATTGCTTTCCAGGTCTTAATCAGGTGGTAATTGAAACCATTAAATAATCAATTTCCAAACACATGGAACAACTGTAGCAATTAAGCATGTGGGGGGTAATCTCAGACCGTTCTGTTGCATACAGCGATGTGCCGCTAAAGTCCATCTACTAACACAAACCTTCAAGACTGGCCACTTCAGGTGGATAAATGCGAAGTGATTTCTGATCATTTCCTATATTGTTTTACTGCTCTTTCTCGGACTTGTGGGAGGCAGTAACAATCTTTAAAAAAAAAGCAAATAATGAAAGAGGTTCATGTACTGTATATGGCATTGTCATTCTGGGATTGTCAATAAGGAGTTTGTAAACATAGGCCTTGCTTTACAAACTTTTTACAAACTTCTTTTTCATAAACTTCTTTGATGAAAATTGTGCAATGCACTAATCAGATCTCATTTAGAATACTGTATATTGTACAATTTTGGTCATTATCATTATACAAAATATTCCTGTTCCTGGAATGCATCCAGAGAAGAGTTAACAGAAACATTTCTAAAAAGAACTTTTAGTCTTGAACAGAGAAGTACGATTCAAATACTCAGAATGTTCAAAGGGACTGACAAGGTCCACCCAACGGGCTGCTTCAAAATCAACAGTGAAGCACAAGCCATGGAACTGAATGAGAAACAAAGGTGAAGTTAACACTTCTTCACCCAAAGGTTTAAAACAAGCTAACCCAGCCATTTTGTTGAAACTGATACCCTGGCTTCTCTCAGTTAAGTGTTTTTATGAGATTCTTGGATCAGTTTAAAAACAAACAGTCTAGCTGGGCAAACCTTGTTTGTAAACTTTCTTCTTTGTGTTCTGATGAACACAAGATGCTTCCAGTAAAAAAAAAAAAATCAGAGAATCATTCATATCCGAGGAAAAGAAAAATTACCAACATGAAATCTTATCTGGGGTTAGGTCAATGTTTTGTCTCTTTCTTGTGTGGAAATTACACATGAATCCTTTAATGACCCACTGAGCATGTATTTATCCATGAACTGTTTTTGCTGCAATTACAGTATGTTGATGTGACTTCGATTCTATGACTACAAATGACTGGATGGTGGCTGTTTAATTTGTGTTTCAAAAATGATTAGCGTTTTAAATCACCATTTCCATTTTTTCAGAACTGAGAAAAGTGGGGTAAAGATTTTTTCCACACAATTGCTTTTACTAAAATTGTATAGATTTTGGACCTCAGCCTGTAATGGATGGCGACATGAATTCAGATTTATTTCTCAAATATGATCCTACAGCATGCTATGTACAGTTAAATCACCAAAACATTGCCAGTTTGATGCTAGCCTTTCAGTTATTCTACAAAGGCATTCGTATTAAGAATTAAACATGGAGATTTAGCATTGAGAGAATGAATTGCACATTTTGCATTAAATGGCTGCTTTTGAATCCTATCTATGGAGACAGAGCAGTTTGCAAGTACACAAGGAAAATTGCAAGAGGAGGCTGGCGATTTAGTCCGTCTTGCTCATTGGGCTGCTAGCAGCTAATCAATCCAAGGATCACATCTCGCTGTTTCCTGGAAAAAAAACAGGGATTTGGCCACAACAACATGGCTGAGTAGCTTGTTCCAACATAATGTGTAAACAAGTGCCTCCTGTTTTGAGTTTTAAATCCACTTCTGCATAGTTTCCACTTTGTCAGTACCTTTGAAGATTTTGAATACTTAATTCAGGACCCTTCATAGCCTTCTCTGTTCAGGACTACAAACGTTTAGTTCTTTTAGGCTGTCAGCACAAGACGTTACTTTATGCTTAGAATGTATCTGACTGCTCTTTTCTGGACTGATCCCAGGGCAGAAATATCTTTCTTGTAACACAGAGACCAGAATTGAACAGAATATTCCAAATGAGGGCATATGTGTTCAACACGTGAGAATTACTCGATTTTGAGAACTTGCTCATTACTTCTGTCCATTTCCTCCCGATGTGGCAACAATTTCAATCAGGAGGTCTCAGTTTAGAAGCTTCACTTGCAAAGGCAGCAATACGCTCACACACATGCATACCCACGCAAACAGACACAAAGAAGCACACATACTCTCTTGACTCGATGGCTCTCGCTCTGACTGCTAATGTCTCCTCAGCGTGTGGTCCGCTTTGCTCTTCATTTACATTTTTATTGTATCTCCCTCTGCCAGGAGGGAATTCAGCTGTTCCTTGACAGCCACTAAATTAACAATCACTATCATTAAATAATCACCCAGCGTGGCAGGGAAGGAAACGGGACTGTTACATAAGAGCCGAGCTGGGAGGGAGGCAGCCAGCAAGAGGGAGGCAGGGAATGGCAGTCTTACATCAGGGGATTTTGGAGGCAAAGGCCCTTTGTGTTCGTGGCTGCATCTACAATTATTTAAAGCTGCCCAATTTGGCCTTTTTGGTATCCATCATTAATTACTTAAAAAACAGATTCCACTTCATTGCCATTCCGAACAGGCTTCCATTGTGGTGCTGCTGCTTCTTGCCCAGTATCAGCAGCAGACATGTCATTTCACAGAAAGGGTTGGGGAGGGTAGATGTTGTGTTTGCCCCCTCCCCCCTTCTGCCCTTCCGCTCTTGGGTTCCCCCCTGTACAACATGCTCTGGCCGGGGGGGAGTGGAGGGCGGCTGCGGCACAAAAGCAATCACACTTTGCAGTGCATGCTAGGAATAATGAGTTAATTGGTATGGGGGACCTAAATGCTGAAGTCCTCCCCCAGCAAATGAGCAATTTTCCTATCTGTCTTGCGATGGGGCAGAATCTGATCTTTGTCTGTGCGGAAATGTTATGGAAATTGAAAATGTGATTGCAGAGTTGTCTGGGCTTAATTAGCATTTTGGTGGGGTCTAATAATGAAAATCCACATACGGATGGAGCCCTGGGCTTCAAGGAACTGCCATACACTGACAGGCTAAAGGATCTCTTAAACACAGACATATTATGAGATGCTTCCAAAATTCTCAAAAACCAAGACTAAGCCAAGCCAGTGGAGATCTTCAGGAAAGTCACCTGTTAGCTCAGCCAACACATAAGTCAAATAGCTTAATTGTGAGCTTGAACTGGAATATAAATGAGCTGACCTGTGGCTCCTGAGGATTTCAGCATCCTGCCCTTGCAGGACAACATTACTAAAATGTTGGAACGTCCAGCCCATGCCTGCAGCATGGCCTGACC